TTTTTTAAAAATTTTATTTTCGTCGAATTTTGAATAAAGTGAGAGAGCAGGCACATAAAAGTTAGTTTGAAACTTTCAAACTTACAATTACTAATTTTATTCAAGTTAAATCAATTACCGTTAATTTTTTCACCGCCTTCTTGGGAATAAATTTTAAAAACGATTTTTTTTTGAAATTTTAAATTTTTTCATTTTTGTATGTGAAAAACTGTTGTCAAATATTCTCTAAATTTTAGGTTTTAGGCTTTCGTTTAAATTCTTTCATCACATCAAAAACATGACACGACGCATTTTGAAAAAAAATTGCAATTTTTTATAAGTATAGTCGGAACATTGTGTGCTACTTGCACAACAACCGGCTATCCTTGTTTTAGATATGGCATCGTCTACGATACGGGGATGGAGCCGATGCTTGAAACCATAAGAGCATCTTACAATAGAAGTCTGATTCACACGCAGCTCATTGATGTGTCCATGAGTGTGGACAATATAGCCGAACAACTTGAGTCTTTCAAAATAAAAGACGTCAAAATAGTCCGAGCTGTGATGATCGCTGGTCATGGAAAAGTCATTTGTGCCGCATACAGAGCTGGCCTAATGACTTCCGACTACGTGTGGTTCTCGAATCAGTGGACGTGGGAGTTAATTTTGGACTCTCTGCCAGACTATTGCACCACTTCCGAAATTTCGCGAATCAAATCCGAAAGCAACGGGCTCCTGTCAATAACTTTGGACCCATCTAGCATAAAAGGAGTCGATTCCGATGTTGGAATTACCTCAGAGCAGGTTTTCGAAGCAATTCCAGAAGCAAAATACTGGGATTTGTATGTATACGACTGCTTTTGGATAATTGCGAAATGCATCGACAGTTTTATATCTGAGAAAACTACTCAGCAGAAACTGGAGTCTTTTATGACAAATGTGGACCGTGTTTCCTTTTACGGCGTCTCGGGTTTGGTTCGTTTCGATGGACTTTTCTCGTCAACTTCTCAGTTGCAACTGCAGCATTTGGTTGACTTTTCCGAAACTGTGAAAATTTCACAATTTTCATCCGAATCGTACGTCAGCATTGAAACTATTTATTGGAAATCAGGCGCTGTTCCGACAGATTTCACACAAAAAACTGTTATTCGGGTGATCGAAAAAACGGTAACTGTCAATAAAGTTGTTGCTTTGGTATGTTGTACCTGCGCCGGACTTTGTATTTTGCTTTGTATATGTATCGCGGTTATAAACTTCATTTATAAGAATGAGCCTATAATCAAAATTACTTCACCAATTATCAATAACTTCATACTTATGGGGTCAGTTCTTCTCTTTTTGTGCGTCGTCGCAATGTCATCGACTGCAGCAACTATTGACACTGACATTTTTCTCGCGTCGTGTAACTTCTACTTGATTTCAATCAACCTCGGGTTTACGACTACTTTTGGCGCCCTTTTTGCCAAAACATGGCGAGTTTACAAAGCATTCACGCAGTTTCACGCTCAAAAGTTGATCATTAGTGATCTTCAACTTGTTGTAACTATTCTGATTTTGATCGGACTGGATGCTATTATTTTGACTCTGGCGATGATTTTCGACCCTATGGGGTACGAGCTGATCCGAACCCACCGCAACACCGAGCTACTGAACGAGTTAACGGTGCAGCATTATCATTACAACGCACTCAAGTGTACCATGAATAGCAGCGTTTTCTTCTACATTTTTGGTGGAACGAAAGCTCTAATTCTACTTTTCGGCGGTTTCCTCGCCTTTGAGACCCGCAATGTTAACATTGAAGCTTTAAACGACAGCAAGTCGATCGCGATTTGCATGTACAATTTCTTCATAAGTACTTGCGTTGGAGTTGTGTTTAACTTCGTGCTGGATTGGGATCAGAACGAGACATATATCTTGCTCGGACCTCTTATTCTAATTGTGGCTCTTTTTCCCATTCTGGTGTTGTTCACACCGAGGCATCTGAAGCTAGCATTGCAACGACAACCAATTCAAGTTAATGTTCGGAACTCTGCGATTGGAGCCAATGCTAAAGTGGGTCAACACCAAGCCAATTGAAAATTAGCTTGCATTTCAAAAGAGCAATATTATTAGGAAAAGAAATTATCCAAAAAAAGCATGCCAATTTTAAGAAAGTTAGTTAGATAAACTGAAAATAATACAACGCATTTTTGATAACATTTTCTGCTAATAGTTTTATGCATGTCTTTTGTGCGATGATTACTAAATATAAAGAAAAACCGAAGAGCATGAATTGACTGTTTGAATCTGTAGAATTAAGTTTTAACATTATTATTTTTGATCAATCAAAACTATATGCTAACAATTTTTTTGAATGTATATTTTGGGCAGTTTCAAAATCAGAGTTACGCGAGTTCCGGAATTTGTGTCGCTAAATAACTTCATCGGGGTATTGTTTTGCGAAATCATTGAACTTTTTGAGGATTTTGAATCTATCTTCAATTTCGCCCCTGTTTTCTTGCACAGTTTTCATGATGGACTTAGCAATTCCGAGTGTGAACAAATGAGGTCGGAGCATACTTTCTATTTCCTCCTCAGTCGCCTGGGCGTGATCTTGTTTCACCTGTTCACACTCTAACTCGAGCTCTTCACACTTTGTGTGGCAGCTGTCAATAAACTGGAGGTGCTCCTTTGCGCCCCAGTCTAACATGTCGATTTCTTGAGTCAGCAGGTCAAATGCGTTCGACCTAAAATCGAAATTAAAGAAGTTTTGTAGCTTTTAAGTGATTGCAATAGTTTGACTAGAATCACTCTCATCAGTCACCTTCACCAATCGGAAAATTCCTCCAACTTTATATGAAAAAAGAAACACTCCAGTTTTTTGCATTCAAAAATTAATTTGTTTTTGTGTGCCTAACGTAGTCCTGGATACATAAAATTTGAAATTTTTACGTTTGTCTGGAGAATTTTTTTAAAACGTCGATTTCTTTTGTAGACCATTTTTATTTGTATGCCTTGATCAATGCGTGATTAATCAAAAACTCAAATTTTAAAAATGATCATATTTGAAAATTTTTGGCCAAATTTTAAAAATTAATACTTTTATGGTATCTTCTGTGAAGGAAGCATTGAACACCAACCCAAAACTTTTGAGAAAAGATTATTTTTAAGAAAAGTCAAATTTTTGGTTTATGGAAAACTAGAAGTCACACAATCGCCATATAGGAAAAATCACTAATCATAGAGCTTTCATGCAATTTTCTGATAGGTGTATGTTTAGAACTTTTCCATATAGGAAACCTACTTGACTAAAAATTTTGGTCAACCCGGGAGGTGTTTAGCGTCTAGTAACACGTAATAAAAAAAACCAATAGCTATCTCTTTTTGAAGCATGTAATAATTTTGAAATCTAATTTCGCATAAAATTTTCATTTCAATCAAGCCCGCAAAATATACTACTCGGGAAAAATTTTAAATGAAACAGAAAGTAAAGAACTTGGGACATTAATAATAAATTTGTATCGACCAACTTTTTTATTAATTAGATCAATTTGTTTGCCCTGGAAGTTAATTTTTGAAAAACCGGTATTTTCCCCCTAAATTCATTGAGGAGGGGAACTGTGGGGATTGATCCAAATTTTCTAACGCTTTATCTGTACAAAATAAAATCGCAGGGAAAATTAGCCTTAATTTTGAGCTCAATACTTTTCAGGTGCTAGAAAAAATTCCGTTCAAAAAATCATCATTTGTCCAAAGAAAGAAAAAACATTAAAAATCGAGCACAAACCGTCCATCTCTTTCTTCGAAAATCGGAGATTAACCTAATTGTAATCTCATCTTCAAAAACTTTTAACCCTTTAATTTCTGTGATTTACTTTTTTTAGACTCCCATTGTAATCAAAAACAAATTTTTCATAAAAAACTTACTAAAATAACTTGTTTTATAAAGCATATACCCTTATAATTTTTTATAAAGTTTTGTAAAGGAAACTTAAGACCAGCCAATAAATTGCTGGTTGAGATATCTTGTTATGTTACGCAGATTGGTGCCTATTTTTGCCACAGTATTACTTTTGGGAGGGTTTGTTTGTTTTTGCGTTAGTTTCCTATCAGGTTACTTCTCAGATGAATTATTTTTTCGAAAATCAGTTCTCAAGGGCTAGATACTAAATAACTGCAGTTTCTAGAATAAAAGCTGAAAGATTTATTTTTTTTTTAGTTTTTTCGGTTTTTGAGCTGAGTAACGGAGCGTGTAAGTTTGGTGTGGTTTTCTTTTTTCTTATTCATATCAATTTTGACGATTGAAATCTTAAGTTCAAAATAAAATATGTTTTACCATAGAATATATAGACCCTTGATTTTAAGTGGTCATAGATTTTTCTCTTGCAACTATTTTTGGCAAAAATTATGTCTGAAATTTTAAATTTGGCGCATTTTTGGTTAATTTTGTGTACGTTTTTATGAATGTATTCTTTAGTAGCTGAGTAGCCGTTTTTGGCCCTGAAATTATCTTTGTTCCCATTGTTTGAATTGTTTCAATAATTGGCACTCTGAATAGTTACGTTATCCCATATACACAACTCTTTTCGCAAAAATGTGTATGCACGGGGAAAATAGACCGTATTACTTTTTTCTTTTATTTTTGGTCAGTATCCTGGAGAACTGTTAATGAGGCGATCAAAACAGACAAAAAAGCTATTGATTTGAAATTTTCTATGTTTTTCCAGCCTTTTTGACTGCAATTGTCTGACCAATTTCAGCAAAGTACAGACTATGCCCCATACAAAATGCAGTGTTTGTGCGTTAAAAATATCAGTTTTTTCGGTTAAACCAACGTAGTATGCAGACAAACTTCATTTTTAGGCCTATGGATCAGTGACCGCCCGAAACAATTGTCGGATTTTCTTAATCATCAACTCACACGCCATACAACACAAAGTGATAGTTTTTGCTCCCATTAATGTAGCAATTATAACAAATGGCCTGCTCCAACCAATTTGGAACGAGTTCTAAACGGATTAAATCGGTTTATAGCGCAAAATGTATTGTATGCTTGGGGTGGTTTTTTATTCGGTCAATTTTCGGCGATCAATGAATACCTTTTAACAATATTTTTTATTTTCACTCTATTGAAGATATTGACTTTCTGAAATCAATTTTAAAAAGATATTTTTCCTCCGATCGTTTTTTTTTGCAAAATTCTGGCAATTTGAAAGTTGCCAATTTGGTCACATTCTGGACTAATTTATGCGCGCTTTGAGAAATTTAGTTATAAAAATTGGTAAAAAATGGCTAGTTAAAAAGTTGAAATTTGTTTGGAGAAAAAAAACAACCCAAGCGCAATTATTCCGTCAATTTCATCGAAAGAAGTTGTGACATTTAGGGTGAAAATTCCCGTTCTGCAAGTTTTTCCAAATTGTTTCTGAGCGTGTTAATGGGCTCTTATCAATTCCTTGAACCACTCAGACTAAAACAATTACTATGTGACGTTGGTTGTCGAGAGAGGAATAACAAAATCTTCAATCGAAACTAGTTAAATGGATCATTCAAGGTTTCACCCGGTATGAACAGTCTTGTTTGAGGTTCTTTGAGGTTCAAAATATTTGAAGGACAGTGAAAACAGTTGAATGATTTTTTTTTGGTTTTGTGTGTGTTTGGTTAGGCTAAAATAAGGGTGTGCCTAACCAAATGCACACAGAAACGTGAGCTTTTTGAGTTAGGACTGGAGTGTAACTCATAGAGTAATTTCGGATAGGGTACACCGTCTGCTCGTCACGCTATCTTATTTTCGGCCGGATAGATTCGTGCAACTTCTTAGTCTAATACCGATCCTAATCTTACTCTTATACTATCTAGTCTCAGGTTGTTTAACTAGTCTCTGCTAGGCTCAATAGATCTAGGGTATACTGGTTTATTGCGGCTGCTGAAGTGCTCGGGAGAGTCCAACTAATTTCTAAGTTAAATTCAAATCTCTCTGGTGCTGAAATTACAAGTAACTTCAGCACTTACAAATAAGTGGGTTGTTAGTTAGATGGATCATGATTGGTTAATATTAAATACTTTACATTGGTAAAACATTTAATTTATCCAATCATAAAATATAGTTTAGATCAGGTTCCACCCATCCGGGTTTTACAGAGTTTTTTAGAACAGTTCTTTTGTAGTTCAAGGATGGATGATGGACGTTGGTATTTGGCGAACATCATTTTTCTTTTGTTTCCTTTTTGTTAAGGAAGTTCCAGGGATCTGGAATTGAGGACACAAGACGTTGTGTTCTTCTTGTGACAACGACTGAGTCTCTGCAACAGCATCAATTCTGGTTTCAGAATGGTTGGCTATGTCAGGTTTTTCTGTTCTTCGGAGAGAACTTCTTTTGTGTTTGATCTAGCTCGGGAATGGCGTGGAGATTGTGCGTGGAGGGGATGCCTGGTTACTCGGATCTGTACGTATACTTGAACATCGAGGTGGTCATTGGTCTAGTTCAATGAAGTCCTTTTCTGCGAGGTCAAGTCGTACTCTAAATCCTTTGAGTTGTGATTGTGAGCGGCATATCGATTATAGTTGGTCATTCTCTCTCGAGTGTAGTGAGGTCGTCTTGTCTTTTGATGTTCGTCCTTGGTGTTGTATTCTGATCTATATATTGCATCATGTGATTTTACATTTTATAAAACTTTTATTAATTTAATATTTTTTAATTATGATTTTAGTTAGTTGTTTTCACAAAAGCTTTTTGTTTTAGTTCGGTTATTTTGAAGAGTTACTCACCCTTGAGTAGCTCTTATTAAAAATAAAGGTGTGGTCACAAAGCGTGGATGTAGCACGGTGGGTTAGGCCGGCTATAGAGCATGCTCAGGACGTCCTTTCCTGGTGGGTTAGGCCAGGTGTGGGAGTATGATTTCATGCGGTTTTTATGAGGGGTCCTGTTATGTGACAACATTTTATGTTGGGTTTGTTGTGGTTTTACTTATGTTTTGTTGGTTATGTACTTTTTCCAAAAAGCAAATTGTTTGTGGTATGGGTTTGTCTTTTGACTTTTTTGTGTTTTATTATTTCTTTCTAAGACTTTGTAATAGTCTTCAAAAGAATAAATTATCCAGTTTTAAACTGGGTTAATCCGGTTTGGGTACCGTTGGTTTCCTTTTCTTAGTCATGCTGTTATTTTATGATTTGTGGTATTTAGTAAGCTGCGTTGGTTAGTTTTGTTTAGTATATGATTCCTTTCCAACCGGGTTAAAGGAAAGTTTGAAACTTGTTATTATTTGTTAGAGTTGTTGAGTGTGAAAACTTGAAACTAAAATTCATTATTTTAAACAATTCTTCGTGGGCGAGCTGTGCGAGTGTGGATAGAATTTCTGTGCGAATGAATGAAAATATCAAAAGGTTAGTACTGCAATTGCATTTTATTAATTTACTGCATAGAATTTGGAAATTTACTGCTAGTAATGGGGGAATTTTAAGATACAAATTTTCATCATATGTAGATTTACTGCTTTTAGGGGAAAATTTTATAAATTAATTTACTGCATTGGTATTATATTTATTTAATTGTTGGTGCAAAAGTTAAATAGGGTTTTAAATAGTTTTGAAGAAGTTTGCTATTTTTTATTTTTCTTTTGTGAATTTTTCAGATGATTGAAGATGAAGGCTAAAAATCTAAAGAAAACATGAATAAGGAATGGTGAGTTTTTCAATATTTTAATTAGTTAGTAATATTCATTTAGTTCATACTTACCTGTTAGTCGTCGGG